CCTGCCCATGGCAGGGGGTAGAACTGGATGGTCTTTACAGTCCCTTTCAACCCAAACCATTCTGGGATGATTCTATGGTTTAAGGGCCACTTCTTGACAGCACAGGCCGTGATTTTTACTTCTGGCCAAACCACCTTGTGTTTCAGTCCTGGCAAGGTGATGGATTGCCCAGTTCCATCTCTCAGCTCTTTGCTTTGGTTCAGGCTCTTGTGCTTCACTGGGCAGCAGTGGTGGTGTGGGGACGTAGCCTGGGATTATGTTGACTCTGGCAGCTCTTTTTAATAAGATTTTCTTGCTGTTGGGCTGTTTGCTGGTTCACAGCTCACTCAGGCCAAGTTTCCAGCATTCATCTTTGTGTTCCCCGTGAAGGCTCCAAGCCCTTTCTGCTGTGAGTGACAGCAGAGAGAGCGGGGTGGCTGTGGGACTGACAGGGTGTTTATCCACGGGCTGAGCGAGCTGCAGCTCTGTCTGTGCCTGTGACAGCGGGGCTGTGACAGCCAGAGCTCTGAACCTGGAGCAGGACAGTCCACAGAGCACCTCTGCTCCTCTCAGAGAATCACAGCATGTGCTGAGCTGGGAGGGACCCCCAAGGATCACGGAGTCCAACCCTCAGCCCTGCACAGGCCCAGCCCCAAGAGTCACCCCCTGTGCCCCAGAGGATCAGCCAAACCCTCCCTGAGCTCTGGCAGCCTTGGGGCTGTGCCCACTGCCCTGGGGAGCCTGGGCAGTGCCCAACCAGCCTCTGGGGGAAGAACCTTTGGCTGAGATCCAACCTGAGCCTGCCCTGACACAGCTCCAGCCATTCCCTGGGTGCTGTTCCTGGTCCCCCCAGAGCAGAGCTCAGTCCCTGTCCCTCCTCTTCCCCTCCCCAGGAAGTTGGAACAGCAGTGAGGTCTCCTTGTGTTCCAGAGTATCCCTGTGGAAGCCTGCTCCTTGGCCCTTCTTTTCCATGTGTTTTAGCCTTACAGGAAGGTTGTTTTGTAAGGAAACAAGTGCCATTCCTGTGGGCAGCCTGATGTCTCATCAACTTCCCAAATCCCCACGTGGCTCTTGCCATCCCTGACAGATGAGCCCGAGGGAAGGGAAAAGCTGTCAGCATTCCTGGCTGTCCTCCTGCCCCTGGAGCTTTGCTTGCTGTGAACTTTAACTCTTCAGTCATGTAATTCATGAACTTTAGTACTTCATTTAACAGCTCCCCAGGGAAACTTTTGCTAATCCTTCCTGCTGCCAGGCAGCCTTTTCCTGAGAGCCCTGCCAGTGTTTTCCCTCAGCTCTGGTTCTGTTAGTCCTGGCTCCAGCCCCTGATGTATCACTGTTTTCCTAATGCTTGTGCCTTTCATTTGTTAAGAGATCCTGGAGCCTTTAGATGGATGAGGCTGTAAATCATGGCAAGGCCAAGGGTTCCCTCTTGTCTGACCACTGGGAGGTTAAGCAGGAAAGAAATTTAGTCAAAATTGGGGTATTCTGGGTGTCATTTTTCTTCTCAGAGTAAAAGCTTCTGGGGGAACTTTGTTTTTTCAGCCATGGCATATCAACAAATAGAGCCATGGGGCTGAGAGTGCTAAATTAAATTAATTTAGGGAATCATAGAATGTGTTTGGGTTGGAAGGGACCATCTTGTTCCACCCCCTGCCACGGGCAGGGACACCTTCCACTAGACCAGGTTGCTCCAAGCCCCGTCCAACCTGGCCTTGGACACTTCCAGGGATCCAGGGGCAGCCACAGCTTCTCTGGGCAACCTGTGCCAGGGCCTCCCCACCCTCACAGGGAACAATTTCTTCCCAATATCCAACCTAAATTTCCCCTCTTTGAGTTTGAACCCGTTCTCCTTGTCCTGTCACTGCAGTTCCTGATGCAGAGTCCCTTCCTGGCTGCCTTGGAGCCCCTTTAGATCCTGGAAGGTGCTGTGAGGTCTCCACACAACCTTCCCTCCCCCAGGCTGAACAGCCCCAACTTTCTCAGCCTTTACATGGAGTTTAGGTACCTTTTTTTATTTTTCTCCCCTCTGCAATATTAGTTTGCAGTATATTTGGTGCAACAAAATAGAAAGCAGGGAGATACTGGGCACTTGGACATCCTGGAGAGAGCTCTTCAAAGAGGAGAAGTGGCAGCAGCACGTCCTGTTGGTCACACTTGGATGCAGCTGGGGCTGAGTTTGGGAAGCAAATCTGTAGGAAACCCTTTGAAACACTTGGAAGGTGGTTTATCCAAGTGGCAGCAGCACCTCTGCCTTGACAGGGGGTGCTGAGCCTCTTTTTGGGACTGTGCCCTTTGTCGGATGCTCTGGACCCCTCAGAACTGGGTGCTCTGTGCCCACAGGAGCTGTGCTGCTCTGCCTGGATGGCAGGAAAAGGGAAGAGATTCCTCCTTTCCTTCACCTCTATCTGAGGTTCAGCTGCTTTTATTCAAATCAAACCCAACCAACCCTCCAGCAGATTGCAGTGGAGCTCTGCTGAGTCCTGATTCTAGGGAATCCAGGTGTATCCATAGGTTTCTCATCTGTAGGTTCTCTTCTTTGGGACTACACACCAGGGGATGACTCTTCATTTTTCTGGCAGTGAAAAAAGGGCCTGAAAAGCTGGCTCTTGTCACTGCTTGTTTGATTTGTTATGGAAAGGCAGGAATTTGCCTTGGATTTACTACAGGGCTTTCTGCTAAATCACCACAACTGGAGAAGTTTGCTCTGTGCAAAGTTAACTTTTGTTCTCTCTGCTCCAACCCTAAATAACAGATATGAAAGGTTTATTAAGCAAATAAATACAAATCCCTGGGCTGGGAATTCCCATTTCCCACACAAGGAGTATCTGAAGCCCATCACTTGCCAAAGGGAACGAGTCAGGGATTGCAGCTCAGGGAAAAACACAGGATTGTTTTGTTTGCAGGCTTTGACATCAGGGTGTGGGGAGGGAAAATTATGATCATCTCTGGGAGGGGAAAAATGATTATTGAACTGTATTTCTGCCCTGCCAGAATGGGATTTTAGGTGCCTTTTTCAGGCCCTGCAGTGACAGGGAGGTAGAAATGCAAATGCTTTAAATGCAGAAAGACTCCTTCCATATCTGGAGAGTGGCTTGGGTGGGATGTCTCATTTGGAATTAAATCAATTTGCTGCATTTTAAATGTTATGATGTGGTCCCTAATGTAGGGTTAGTTCTTCTGGGAGAATTGGCCTGGCATGAGATTACAGGGCACATGCCCATGTTTGAATCCTACTGAGCATTTTGAGTGGCTCCCAAATCTCAGAATCATGGAATGGTTGAGGTTGGAAGGGACCTTAAAGCTCATCCAGTCCCACCCCCTGCCATGGGCAGGGACACCTTCCACTAGCCCAGGGTGCTCAGACTAAGGCAGAACCTTTCCTTGGGCCTAGTTCAGGCTTAAATGATGACTTGTGGCAGGAGAAACTCTTTATTTTAACACTTAATAGATAAAATCTTCATCTTCCATCTCCTTCCCTCCTTATGCATGAAGCTTTCCCAGCAGTATTAATATTTTATTGTTGAAGAGTCTTGCTGATAAATGAAGATCAAGGCTCAAGAAATGAGCTTGTAAACCCACCAAATGACAGGTAATTATTAGATGTAGCCTTTGGAGGGGAGTTTGGATGTGTTATAGAACCCAAGGAATTCCCTCCTGGAAGCTCAGCAAACTGAGTGTGAGGAAGCAGAAGATGGACACAGCTTTCTCCTTCAGGAAGGACCATGTTGTGGTTGTTGGAAAAGATCTTCCTGCACAACATCCCTGAGCCTGCAAGCCCAGTTTTAACCCAAATGAGTAAGGAAGGCAATAATCTCTGTCCCTAAATATTTTACTCTCCTGCTTCCTTCTCCAGTGCTTATCAGGAACTGTTTTGTCCTTTAACCTCCGAGTCTGTGGTGGGGGGGGATTATTACTACTTCTGATTTTTTTTTTTGGAGGCACCTTTTATTTTCTCAGGTACAAAATAAGCCTGTTTACATCCAGGAGCAGCCAAATTCCTTTCCCTGCTTGGGAAGAACAGTCTGGCAAGTCAGGAGCACTGGTTTCCTTAGTGATGCTGACAGTTGGTGGGCAGACTCAAAAACTGGAAGCATTTCTATGAACTTCTTGATGCCTTTGGCACAAAAGAGCCTTGGCTGTGAAATACCCTCAGTTTTGTGCAGACAAAATGTCCTCTGCTTGGTTTTGTTTGTTGTTTATCCATAACTCTGGTAATAAAAGCCATAAAGAGCTGACAGATTACAAGTTGCATGAAATATCCAAGTCATTATTTACACTTTGATGCTTCTTTGTGCAGACATGAGACAATAAATACCCAGAAAGTCTCAGAAGTGACACTCAGTGGGGGATTCACCACTTTTTACGTGCCAGTGTTTGCTTCTCCTGCTTGGAACCGTATCCTAATACCTGATATTCCTTGCCTTTGGTTTTTAGTAAGCTCCAAGGGCTCAGCTGGAAGCCAGACTCCCATGGGATGCTGCTGGAGTTGGCTGTGGGGCAGGGAACAGCCTTTCCTTGCAGGATCTTTGCTGGTGGCTGAATTTTGGTGGTGCCTGTGGGTGCTGCCTCAGGGGGCTTGTGGAGAGCACAAATTCTGCTCTGTGAACTCCTGGGCTGTCACTGGAGTGGTGTGGGTTCCTCTCCCAAATATGTGTCCCTCCAGACATGCTGGTTTGTGGAGATAAGGGGTGGTTGTGCAGCCATGGAACACTGGGGCTTAAATCCTGGAGTCCCTCTCGCTCTTGGATGGGATTTAACACCCTGTTTGTTAAAACATCCTTGAGAATGTCATTGCTGTGTTAGTAGAAAAAACTCCAGTGTGTTGTGGGGTTTTCCTTTCAGATTTACTGTCCTAAATTACCAAAGGGCCAGAGTCTGGAGGGAAAAGGGATAAAATGCAGGATTACACCAAAGCAGGAATTGCCGTGTGAGCACTCGCCACTGGTTTAACTGAACTGTGCCACAGTGTTTAAAGTGTGATGCTGGAATGTGAATGGTTGTAATTCACTGTCTTTGAACAGAGAGAACATGAGCTCCAGGAGGGAGATGTTGGAAGGAGAGAGAACCCTGGGAGGAAGGAGGAGGAGGAGAAGAGGGAGATGATAACGCCGGCCCTGAGGGACACGCTCACGAAACAAGGTGAGGCTGCACAGCCCCGGGGTGGGACAGGACTGGGGGGCTTGGGGTGGACTTTGACCAGAGCAGTGGAAGAGGGTGTTCTTTGTGTGACAGATGCTGCTCTGGACCCTCAGTCATGGCAGGACAAAGATCACAGAACACAGCATAGTTGGGGTTGTGAGGGACCTCTGGAGATCATCCAGTCCAACCCCCTGCCCAGGCAGGGTCACCTGGAGCAGGTGACACAGGAACACAGCCAGGTGGGTTTGGAATGTCTCCAGACAGGGAGACTCCACAGCCTCCCTGGGCAGCTGTTCCAGTGCTCTGCCACCTCCATGGGAAGAGGTTCTCCTTATGTTGAGGTGGAACTTGTGGTTTAGTTTATGGACATCACTCCTTGTCCTGTCACTGGGCACCACTGAGGAGAGTTTGGCACCATCCTCTTGGCTCCTGCCATGGAGATATTTGTATGGATTGATGAGATCCCTGCTCAGCCTTCTCTACTCTAGACAAGGCCCAGCTCCCTCAGTCTCTGCTCATCAGAGAGAGGCTCCAGACCCCACATCACCTCTGTGGCCTCCTGGCCCTGCTCCAGGAGCTCCCTGTCCCTGCTGTGCTGAGGAGCCCGAGCTGGGCCCAGCCCTGCAGATGTGCCTCCCCAGGGCTGGGCAGAGGGGCAGGATCCCTCCCTGACCTGCTCCAATGCTCTTCCCAATGCTCCCCAGGATCCCATTGTCCCTCCTGGCCCCAGGACACACTGCTGGCTCATGTCCAACTTGGAGTTCCCAGGGTTTAAAGTATCAGCTTGGGAGTGATGCTGATGGTCCCACGTGCCTCCCAGAGTGGAGAATATTTCTAGATCAGAGAATATTTCAAGATCAGCTTTGCACCTCTGTTTTCCCTTTAGTCCCCTGCTTTTATTTCAGTTTCAAACTCTGATTTTGTTACTGAAATGTATTTCCAGACTAGGAATAAGTTCAAACTAATTTTAAACTAACCATCCACCAGATGATTAGGTCAGATCTCCAATGAGCTCTGGAAAACAGTTGGAATGAATTTCATGACTTTTTTAAAGTAAAGGACAAGCATGAGAGGAGCCAGACTGAGCCCTGGAAAGGTGATGGAGCTTCCCCTTGCTGCTCAGGTGGAGACTGAAGGCAGTTCAGTCTAATTTCTTTTACCTCTTAGGAGAGAGTGTGCTCAGTTTTGTTGCTAAATCAATATTATGGAATCGTTAAGGTTGGAAAAGGTCTTTCAGATCATCAAGTCCAACCACCAACTCAGTGCCACCACCACGTTCACCACTAACCCACGTCCTCAAGTGCCACATCCACATGTTTTTAAACACTTCCAGGGCTGGTGACTCCACCACTGTCCTGGACATCTCTCCTGGTGCTTCTGAGCAGGCCCTTGTGGTCACTGAGAGCTGAGCTCTGAAGTTCTCCCCATGCCCTGTGGGATTGTTGCTTTGGGACACAGGACCCCGGGTGGGCTGTGGTACTGACCCCTGAGAGGGAGAGTGGGTGGTTTTTGGCACCCTGCCCTGCCTTTTTTGGGGTGCAGGGCTCTGTGCTGGCCCTGGGTGGTATTTGTAGGGTTGTAGGAGTGTTTGTCTCACCCAGTCACTGTTGGTTTGCTTTTGGGGCGTGGATGAAACTTTGCTTTTGTAAGAAGTGGCCATTTGGCAAATGGAAGGTCACCTTCCTCCCATCGATTTTTTGACACAAAGGAAGGCTCCCTAGGGAGTTTTAGTTTCCTTGTGGTGCTCCAGGGACAGGAATTCATTATCCTGATTAGTGGGTCCATATTTCTCCCTTCCTTTGGCATTCCGGGTAATGCCAGTATTGGATCAACCAGTATGAGCTGCTGTTTCAAATCTGCATTTTCAAAGGCCTAAAACTATTGTATCTGTCTCCTTGTAGTTCCAGCTGCCCCTCCCAGCCCTCCCCTCCTCTGCTGCTCACCCAATTCTTTAATGGTCACTCAGCAGTGAAGAAGAAAAGTTGTTTCTTTTTCGTGTCATGTAACATTTTTCCTGCCAATAACAAACCAAGAGAGGTTTTTGTGGCTATAAAAATAAACCAACTCCCTCCTTCCCTCAGCGTCATTCCCTCCACAGATAACAAGTGCAGTGGAGTCAAAAGAGAATCTGATTTATTGAGCAGCAGCTGGTTGCTTTGGGGATGGAATCACAGAGTGGTTTGGGTTGGAAGGGACCTTAAAGATGATCCAGTTCCACCCCCTGCCATGGGCAGGGACACCTTCCACTAGCCCAGGTTGCTCCAACCTGGCCTTGGACACTTCCAGGGCTGGGGCAGCCACAGCTTCTCTGGGCAACCTGTGCCAGGGCCTCCCCACCCTCCCAACCAGGAATTCCTTCCCAATATCCAATCTAACTCTGCCTTCTGAGTTTGAAGCCATTCCCCCTTGTCTTGGCACTACAAGCTCTTGTAAAAAGTCCTTTTCAGGATTATCCCTGAGGGCACAATTAGCCCGAAGAGAAGGAAAACAAGTATTAGTGGTTCAGAGAAAGCTGTTCTTTGACACTGCACTTGCATAACAGAGCTTGCCTTTGAGCAGCATCTCTTCAGGCTGTTGTAACCTCTTGATTCACCTTCAAACAAATTTCCCTTGCTGTAGATAAAGTGAATATTGCTTAAGCAGTGGTTTTATTTTAGCCCTGGCATTGAATCTGGGCTAAATTTAGCTGGGTTGGGTTGTGTTGTCGAGGTGTGTAAGCCCTTGTAGTTGCCTGCTTGCAGATACCTTGATAAAAGGTGCTCAGTAATAGTTGCTTTTTAAAGTCACAGCTTGTGCTGTGAGCCAGCCCTGATTCCATCCCATCAGTGCTCAGCCTTGCATAAAACACAGATACAGCCCAGGCTCTTTAGTGCCTCCAGGAAAAGTGGAGTGGGAGAGACGCTGGCAGTGTTTGTGTGTGAGATTTGCAGTGGTGCTCCTGATGCTTTAGTCATTCCATGTGTTTAGGTAGAGGGAAATAAATGAAATAAACTGAAAATAGAAGCAAACTCTTCATGGGAATGTTTCCTGTGGTTATTAGGAATTACAGCCCAATATTAACATTTGCTTTCTGTGGTTGCTTGTAGATTCTTGAAACGATCCCTGCTGGGATGGAAGTTTTTCTTTTTGTTTGACCTGGGTGCCAGGGGGATTTTGGACATGGTGAAGTGCTTCGGAGCCTTCCTAGAGCTGCTGACTTTTCAGGAAGTGCATCTTGATCCTTGTTTAGCTTTAGAGGGAGTCTCAAGCTGCTGTTTTAATAGGACAGATGACTGTAAAAAACAAACAGTGTGGGGTTGTTTTCTGTAAAAAAACCGAAAAACAAAACAAAAAAAAAAAAAACAAAAAACCCAAACCAAAACACTCCTCTATGTGTCAGGGGAAGGTTTAGGTGGGATCTCAGCCAAAGGTTCTTCCCCCAGAGGCTGGTTGGGCACTGCCCAGGCTCCCCAGGGCAGTGGGCACAGCCCCAAGGCTGCCAGAGCTCAGGGAGGGTTTGGCTGATCCTCTGGGGCACAGGGGGTGACTCTTGGGGCTGGGCCTGTGCAGGGCTGAGGGTTGGACTGGATGGTCCTTGGGGGTCCCTCCCAGCTCAGCACATCCCATGATTCAGTGTTACCCCTCTTGGGGTTGTTACCATCGTTAGTCACAGCCCCACCTTGATTTGCCAAATGTTTTATTGATGCTGATGGTCCCACTGGAAGCCAAACATGTTTTCCTGCTGAGCACAGGAGTGCAGCCTGGCAGCTGGGAGAGTTGTTCTTTCACTGCACTGACTTCCTGCAGGATTTGGAGCTCAACCCTGGTGTGGCACAGTGCCAGCCCCTTCCAGCAGCCCTGTCACCTCAGAGGTGTGTTTGGCAGAGCCGCAGGTCCTACCTGAGGTGCTTCTCTTAAATGTACAGGAGTGACACAGGAAAAACCAACTTAACGCCCTGAAGGGCTGAATGTTTGCTCAGGAGATTCCAAGGGCAGTGGCTTCAAACTGAAAAAGTAGTTTTAGATTAGATATTGGGAAGGAATTCTTGGCTGGGAGGGTGGGGAGGCCCTGGCACAGGTTGCCCAGAGAAGCTGTGGCTGCCCCATCTCTGGAAGTGTCCAAGGCCAGGTTGGATGGGGCTTGGAGCAACCTGGGCTAGTGGAAGGTGTCCCTGCCCATGGCAGGGGGTGGAACTGCATGGTCTTTAAGGTCCCTTCCAACACAAACCATTCTGGAATTCTCTGATTCCTTACTCTGTTCCTCCCATGTATTTCTGGATGTGGGGGTGGGTTACTGATGCCAAAGACTGACCCCCCTGACATTGGATAAATTATTCTGTTGTGTCTCTGATCCCACGGGAACAGTTTTGCTGCAGTCCTCTTGTATTGCTCTGTCTTTCCTGGTCTGCAATTTAGCCCCAGGGTGTCCAGGATACCTCTATTTTACTTGTATCCAAAGGCAAGGGGTGTATTAGGACACAGCTCATGTCCAAAATGGCCTGGGCAGCTTCAGCAGCCACTTTTTGTTGTGCTTTGACTTCGTAGTCGAGCTAAAAATGTACTTTAGTCTGTGTTTCTCGGTGTATTTGGGCAAGCAAGAGGCTGATTTCAGAAAAATACTGAAAGCTGGGCTTTTCAAGTGCTCTCCAACTTCGAGTTGAGGTTTTTAAAAGCATTTGGTGGCTTTTGCTGTCCCTTCCTGGGCTGAGCTTTCCGGTGCCTGCAGCTCCGAGCTCTCGTGACCAGCTCAGCTTGGCTCCCTGTGCTGAGCTTTTGGAGCGTCCAGACTTTGGGAATGAGATCCAAAGAGATTTTGCAGACTGTGTGCTCCAGTGTTTGGGATTTGGGAGGTTTTGGGTGCAGCTGTTGTACTCCAGGTGGCACCAGCAGCCCACAGCTGGGCCAGGGATTAGCGAGGCTGGTGCAGTCCCCAAAATGTGCCACAGAAATCAAATATTGGCCCTGGGGAGATGAAAAATCAGTTTGCTAAATAACACGTTACTCTTAGTGAGCAGAATAAA